ACATGTTCCTACCTCGTTTCTTCTATGGCTAAAGTCCTAGAGCATGAACACCCTGTGCAGCATTCATTCTAGCCACTGACCAACACTAAGTGCTCCCCACCCTTGGCTACTGGAAATAGTGCTTGCATCTACCCTGTGCAGTGTTTCAATGCCTGTTTCATTTCTTGGGAAATCTATCTAGTAGTGGAATTGAATGTTCAAACGCAGTCCTGTTTAGCTTTGTGGAGGGCTCACAAACTGTTTTCCACAACAGTCACCATTGTACATCCCCACCAGCTATGCATGAGTGTTTCTCCACACTCACAACACTTGTTCCCTGTCTTCTGATAGCCATCCTAGTGGAGATGAAGTTATAGCTCACATTTCTAACCTGTAGTCATCCTCTTGTTTGGGGGCAGTTAGGCAGTGCTTGGGGTTTAACCCAGGCCCTCTCACATACTTTGAAAGCCCAGTGCTATCAAGTTACATCCTCAACCCCCAAATCCTTCTTTTAAAAATCACCTTACCCTGGATTTGGTTCCCAGCACCCACATGTGGTCCACAACCATTTGTAACTACATTCTAGAGGATGTTCTCTTCTGGCATCGAGCACCAGGAACACATATGATGCACATATATACATGTAAAAACTCATATTCATAATAACAACAAATTTCTTTCAATTAAAAAAAAAGTAAAGAATTCTAAAACAAATACATAAGATAAAATGGTCTTCCTGGCCTGGGGAAATCACAGTCAGCAAAGAACTTACCATGCAAGCATGGGAACCTGAGTTTGGATCCCCAGGAGGGCATGGTGTACACCTGTAATTCCAACCCCTGGGAGGCTGAAATGGAAGGATTCTTGGGGTTTGCTGGCCAACCAGTCCAGATGAACTGGTAAGCTCCAGGTTTAGTGAGAATTCCTGTCTCAAAAAATAAGGTTGAGTCATTGAAGAAGATAAGATACCCAACTTTGGCCTCCATGTTCACACAGATGCACGCACACATGCGCGCGCGCGCACACACACACACACACACACACACACACACACACACACACACACGTCTTCAGACTTTCTAGTTGGTCAGTTTTTGTCCCTGTGACAAAACATTTCAGCAAAATGAGAGGTAGGGACAGGATTCATCTTGTGCCATTTAAGCAGTGTTAGCCTATCGGGTGAGGGAGGGTTTGAAACAGCTGTTCATCTCATGCACCCAGAGAGGGAAAGAGATGGAGAGAAAAACAAACTGACAGGCAGAATGAGGGGGTACCTCTATCTATAGTTTCTGTTCCCTTTTATTCTGCCCTGGGGCCCAGCCTGTGGGATGAGCTGCTTTCCTCATCCCCAGTGCTGATAGTCAAGATTAATCAGCCTACCCTCCACAAGTAGAATAGATGTGAGGACCCCACTGGCTGAAATGGAGAAGAAAGCCTGAGTGCACTGTGTACAGCAGCACAGAGGTTAAGTTCCCTTAGGTGGTGCATGGAACAAGGCTTGGGGCCCATGCTGGAGGCTTCCTGTGGTGCTGCCTCAGCCCTCAAGCCTTTCCTTGTTGCCTTGGGAACCCCTGCAGCATTTGTCCAAGTTGTGGAACAGCCCAGCCACTGTACTGGGGTTGCCACAGTGAGAACATAGAATTCAGTGGCTCCATTGAATGGTTTCAGTCCATGGAGTGGCTTGTGCCAGAGACAGGAAATGAACTGGAGAGGTGCCTCCCATCAAGTGCAGGAAGGCTGGGCTTGAATCTGCTGATGGGGGAGGATAAGGCTGTCCTGAGGCACCAGAGTTTTGCCCATCACCCTGGTGAAGTTGCCCTAGTGTTCTGAGGCTGGAGGGTGGCTGTTGGTAGACATCCAGGCCCGTTTCCATTCCCCTCTCGGGAATTAGCATTCGAGGAGCACAAGTTGCTGTGTTTGCCTAGGAAGAATGTTCCAGGTTCTGCTGCTGCCTTGGCAGAGATGGGATCCCTCCAGATTCTGGTTGCCATGCTCTGCTTTGCACAGCTGTTAGGGGCTGAGTCACCAGCTCAGCCTGTTCTGTTCTCTGGGATTTAGGGTTGCTTTTTCCTTTTATTGATGGCTAGTGCCTTGAAAAAGACCTTCAAAGGTATATTCTGGGATGCTGATCTGAGCACCTGGCTGCTCCCCTAGCGAGTAAGATGCCAGTATCTCCCAAGAGATGCACTTTCTAATCTAAAGCAGGGGAAATTGCTACCCAGGAGTCTAGTCATTGAAGAAGAAAGCATCATTTGCAAATCCCTTGTTCCATAAACAGCCCCAGAATCAGAATGTAGGACCCAGAGTTCCTTCCTCAGAGACCATCTAGTTTTGCTCCATGATCTAACACAGATTTTTAAACCAATGTGTTATGAACAATTACATGTTGATTGTATTTGTTCCTTTGAAACACACCAGGGAGCTTCAGCTAAGGGGTTAAGACAAGAAGGGATGAGGGCTAGTCCCTGTAGGAAGGCTGCAGAGCACACAGTCCTGGGGAAGGATGCTGTGCACTGGCAGAGAGCTCAAGCAGAGTTACAGTGGTGCTTTGACAAGCAGAGCTGTCATTGAATACATGCATACATGTGCACACGCACACACTCATGCAAACCTGTGTGCAGAGGGGGAGGGAGGAGAAAAAGAGGAGGAGGAGACTGTTGTAAGTGGAAAGGACTTGATCACCAGAATTAAGCATTTCCCCTTTATTTTCACATAACCATGAGCTTCAGATGTATTTCAAACAGGGTCCAGGTCCTTTGTTATTCCTGATGCTGCCGAGACCCCTGCCCTCCTAAGTTCACCCCTGGAAGACTTTAGCAAACTCCAACCTGGTCTTCCTCCCTCCGGCCCTGTCCTTTCCCAACACACTCTATGAAGGGCTCCCCACCCGGGGCTTTCTCATGTGCACATCTGATGTGCCCCTCTCCTTTATGGGACAGTTCCACGCCTCCCTGTGGCCCACTGGCCAAGAGCCTGGCTTCTCATGCTTGTGTGGCCTGGCCCCACCTCCCCTTGTGGCCTCACTCCCACTGCTCCTCAGCAGGCACCCCAGCTTCCAAGCAACTGTGTTGTTGAGTTATTTACTGCCTTTGGCCATGCTGCCCCTGCCTTCCCAGACCCATAGAGTTTCAGGGTAGAAGAGGCTTTTCTTGATTTTCCTGAACCCACCCCCCCAAATGTCTTGGATATGTTTCTTTTTTGAAGGTCCTATCACACTCCAAGTGTCTACTTCCAGAGCACTGTCTGCTCTTGTTTGTTTAGTGTTTTGTGTGCTAGAGCATCCATCCATGCCATTGGCATGCACTGCCGCATGCTACCTTCACAGTGCCCAGAGAGGAGGTGCAGCCCACGGCAGACGCAAGGCTGAAGCTCAGCAGTAGCCAGACTTGACGAAGCATGCAGTCCAAGTACGGGAACCAGAATTCAACCCCAGATCTGTGTGACCATATTTCTGCATCCTTACAGTTCTTCTTCCCCATTTTAGGGCCTTAGGCAGCACTGGGTGTGGGGATGACCAGTCAAAGAGACAGATGTTTGTGTGGTTACTATGGAGTGTGCACAATGGGGAAACAGAGGGACTCTGGTGTGAGAGGGCGGGTTTCCTTGGGGTTGAAGAGATGAGAGATTGTTGGCCTTGCTCCATTGGCTTAGTTTCCTTTCACCTTCATTCCAAGTGGCTGCCTCTGGCTGCCCAGAACAGGCCTGTGGGACTCCAGGCTAAACAGGCGGCATGGCAATAAATGCCCTGGCAACATGCCTCCTCTCCAGGCGTATGATGAGAGGGAGGAGCCAAGACGACACGGGACACACACTGGGGCCTCTGAGCAGGACCCTGAAGAGGAGGTGCCCTGTGGGTCCGGGTGGCTTCTGCCTTCCCAAGAGGCCCCCTGCCTGTGAGGTCCCATCCCAGCAGGGGAAATGCCACTTCCACTTCTGCTCTGAATTAATGGCTGCTTCTGGTCTCCCAGGAGACTGTCAGCTGTGTCCGGGTACAAATGCCACCCCATTCCCACCCACAGCCAGGGAGGAAGGAAAAGAGAAGGCAAGAGTAGGGAGGAGGGGTTGCTAAGCAAGGTAATAGCAGACGGTTGGGACAAAGCATGCATTGTACCAGGACCACATGCGTTCCCATCTAGCCTTTCTCTCCTGCCTCCCTAGACCTAGGCCTTGAGCTCCGTCCACCTAATCCACCAGCTCTTCTTCCACACTCATCGAAGCTGGGAGGGGAAGCCTTCTGAAGGTGCTGCCTCCTCCCTGCAGCCAGCCTACAGCTAGGAGGCAAGCAGTGATGGGGACGGGGACATGGCCAGTGAAGCCAGCGTGACATGGACTAGCAAGGGCCCAAATGAAAGAAAGCTGCTAGCAGGCCCCCCTGACCTCAGAGGAATTCACTGTGTGGCAGGTAATCCATGCGTGAGCAAAGGCTATCGCCCCCTACCTACTCTGCTCTAGCTGCTCCCACAAGATCTTCCTGTGCCTGGGAGGCAGGGACTCCGGGTGCCTCTCTGGACACTGATGCCTCTATCTGTATTTGCCTGTGGCCTCTACTGTGGGTCTGGCTCTGAGGTTGTTTCCAGAGGCTCTGCTTGGGTGACTGAGACTGGTGGATGGAAAGTGGTGCCAAGCTAGGTGGGCAGCTCAGGTGACAGGCATGGTGTCAGCGGCTCCTACATCTGACACCTCTGGGCAGACAATGCTGGCTGTGTCCAGGCCCTCTAGGGGAACAGGCTGTGTTCTGTATCACAGCCAGGAAACTGGCCATCTGAGTAGTGCCTTTGTCCACTCAGGAGATGGCCCCACTACTGTGCGGGAGAAGCAAGCTCCAGGGGACCCTGACGTGGGAAGGAGGTAGTCCCTGGGTCAGAAACCTCTGGAGGTTGAGATCTCAGCATCTGATGCTGGTCTGGTTCAAATGCTGGTCTTGCCACACAACTGGGGTGTGACTTGGGCAAGTCCTTTTGCTCGCGATGGCCCCGATTCCTTATCTGTAAGAGGGGACTAATCTCAGCACTTCCTCATAGGGTTTTTGGGAGAAGTCAATGGCGTAATGTACGTACACGTGTAGCACGGGCTGGTATGCAGTGGGGCTTGGCTTGGCGGCTGCTTCTTGGCCAGCATGGGCTAAAGTCCAGGGCTAAGCTTTCCCAGGCTATTTTGTCTACCGTCCCTTCTCTGAATGTGGAGTCGGGGCTACAACCTCTGGGGCTGGCTCAAAACTAGTCACTGGCTGTAGGAAGCCTAGGTTTCTCTCCCTTGTCCCAAGGGAGCTCTGGGCTGATGTTTATCTAGTGTAGCCCTGATCCCAGACAGCTTCGCCCTCTGCATGGGACCTCTCCCTCCCCCACATCCCTGAAGACATCCCTGCAAAGCTCTCCTTGACACTGAAATCCCTACTCAAGAGAACATCCCAATGACCCAGCACAGGAGTCGGTGGCGGCTGAGTCCACCCATCCTCTCCTCAAGTCTCCTAGGCATGTGAACGCTGCTTGCTAGACAAACCCACCATGGAACACTCAGCAACTAGGGAGGGCTTCTAGTCTGTTGATCTTGGCCTCATGTGCATCAAGCCTGTGCTCAGTTTCCTGTGATGTGCTAAAATAAATGTGCATGTTTATATGACAGAGGCTAGCCTACATGCATGCAGCATGGGAGTCAGAGGGCCTGGCTGCTTGTCCTGCCTTATTGGCAGGCATCTGAGCATGCACATGGACATGTATGACGCATCTTAGAGTGGCCCATTTTGTCTGTATCCATTTATCTTTCTACACGTGTGCTGGTATGTCCGTCTGTCTTGTCTCCTTTGTAGCCAGGAAGCCCTGAACCACGTGCCAACTGGGAAGGTGATGGTCAGCGAGGCCAGCCCGGCCTAACCTGGGCCTCCTACCCCTACACCAGGAGTCCTTCCAACCTGCAGCCCCAGCCATGGAGGGAGGACTGGATGTGGGAGGCAGGATCTGAGGGGCAGGGACCTAGGCAGAAGCAGGGTTTGCTGGTGGAGTAGAAGAACCTCTTGCTACGCTGGTGGACAAGAGGCCCTTGTCCTGCTGTCCCCGTGACTGTGGTGGGGGTCTTCACCCCTTTGGGCGCCTTCACTGACCTGGAAGATCTGGGGCTGGATTGATGACTCCTAGCCATCCCTGAGGCTCTGCGAGCTGCCTGAGACTTTAAACCAGGGGTAGCAGTCTGTGCCAAGCCCCACTGAATCCATTGGCAGAGGCAGCCGCCTGCAGCCTAGCCTGCAGGTCCTCGCTTGGTTCTGGGGTGTCGTGCCGAAAGGCAAAAGGAGAAGCCATGCCAGGGAGTGGCCCCAGTGAGAGGATGACATGGCCCGGCCCTGCCCTCCCTACGCCCCCCACAACCCGCCCTCTCTCCTCAGCCCCGGGAACACCGCCCATCCCACCGCTAACCAGGACCCGCAGCCTCATGGCCATGTCCCTGCCGGGAAGTAGACGGACCTCTGCTGGATCTCGCAGGTGAGTCTCTCCCTGGTCTAGCGCTTGAGCTTCAGAGGCAGGAGGGCTTGGAGTGTGCCTTTAAGCAAACTGTGCCCTCGGTTTCCCCATCCTTAAAGTAGGCGGGCTGATCCATGCCACCTCCAGGAACTATTTAAGGACCTAAATGACATGGCGGATATAAGAGTTATCTGAAGGTTCCCATCACACCAGCTCTGCCATCACTGTCCCTGCAGCAGTTCTCCTTTGACTGTCACCCTGTGGGTCCCTCCTCCAGTCACCTCCTGTCTGCCCCATTCTGCTCCCCTCTGTTTCAGTCCGTGCATGGATACCCTTCCCTGGGCTGAGAGACCCGAGGGCCCACCATTTGTCCACAGCCCTGTGTAGCCTCTGTTCTTGACCGTGGGGAGCTAGGAGGGTCAGCCACCTTCCGGTTTCTATCTTGATTTCCACTGTCTGTTCTGTCGCCCTTGTCTGTGTGTGTGTGTGTCCCCTCCCCATTGCCTTTCTCCCCGTGATGAACCCGAAGTGGGGGCACTTTAGGCCGTAGCGGCCTGGCTGTGTTCGCCCAGTGCCCGCAGCTGCCCGCCAGCCGGAATGAGCAGCTGCCTGTTCTCCCCGCCCCCAGGCGTACTTCTCCACCTGTGAGTGTGCGGGACGCCTACGGCACCTCTTCCCTCAGCAGCAGCAGCAACTCTGGCTCCTGCAAGGGCAGTGACAGCAGCCCCACGCCGAGGTAACCTGCTCCTCCTTCCAGCCAGGCCTGGCTGCCTGGGAACCTGGTGCCCAGGAGATGGGGGGACAGCAACATGTTCTGCCCATCCCAACTCGAGCATTCTTTTTGACTGGCCTAGAACAGGTCTTCTGTCTCTGAGCTTTGGTTCCTATCTGTGAGATGTACAGGAGCACATGCGGCGAGATGCCAGGGCCTCAGACAAGCAACACCTGAGTCATCACAGGTCTTTCCTATTCCTGGTCACCATCCATGCGACCACCTTTTGTCCTAATGATCCCAAGATGGCTCTGAGAAGGGACACTTTCCCCGTGAAATTTTGCCTAGACCTCATTGGTTAGAACTGGGGTCACGTGACTTGCTAGCAACCTATCCAGTTAATTCACAAAGGATTAGTGCTTTCCTCCCTTTGGTGCCATCCCAAACAAAGAGGAGAAAGCAAGATAAGGGGCATTTGTCTCAGGCACTTGGAGTGACAGGGGTGGTGATGTGCATATGCTAAGTTATGTGGCATATGCTAAGTTATGTGGCATATGCTAAGTTATGCTCTAGGTACAATAGGAGACATGAAATACAGGGTCACACTGGACAGCACGAAGACCAGGATGTTAGAATCAGGGTGCTGATGTGGCATCCAGTTTCCTAGGTGCTGGAATATAAGTGGGCACTGGAGGAGGGTTGTGGGCAGCTGCAGCCTTCCTGTCTCTGAGGCTCAATTTTTTCTTTTCCCTAAAATGGAGCTAATAACCCGGGGAGGTCAGTGAGTCGCTCTGTGCACTGCCTGTACGTCCTGGACCACAGAAAGGCTTGGGGCTACAGTTGAGCTCCTTCCAGCAAGCTATGTCTTGCTCCTCTCAGCAGAGATATTTTCTGTATTCAGGGATGTCCAGCGCTATTAAAGGCACAAATCTTGGGTTTTTCTACCAAGGTGTGGATGGTTGTTAATATTCGTATGTAGGACCTGTGCCCAGGTCTGGCTTCTAACCAATTTATATCTTGAAAAGCATAAAATTGGAATCATCCAGACTTTGCTATTAGTAACAGTTTTGTAATACATCTCCAATCCGAGGCCCCTGGGGCAGTCCCAAACTGCAAATTGAACACCTGTAGAGAATCCTATTGCCCAAAAGGAGGCCTACCACCTCCCTGGAGGGGGGCAGGACAATGCTACCTAAGAACTTCACTGCAGCCAGGCTGTCTCTGCTAACATATGTATGATATGATCAGATGTCTCTCTTTTTTAATATGACACACACACACACACACAGTGGGGGGGCGGGGGAACTAGTGACTATAAACATGTATTAAATGTGTCTTGGGGAAATGCCCATGAAAGCAGATGAGAACATTCAAAGCCTCCATTTCATGCAAACCCTCATTCTTATGAGAGCTCTTAGCACAGGTGTATGTCCTCCTGCCAAATCCCTTGCAAGACAGGACAGATAACAGGTCTGAGTGGAGGATGCTGTATGGCTTCTCTTTGGGGGAGATCTTAGAGCAGGGCATGAAAGCCCAGGCACCCACCATGCCACCCCTTGCCCCTTGCCCCTTGCAAGGTGGAAGAGAAGCTGTGTGACCCAGCTTCCCTCCTGTTGCCACCTTCTAACACTTTACAGTAAGCATTACACAGCTTTCATGAAACTCAATCTGCCTTCAACCTGGCTACTTCCACAATGGGCCTCTCTTTTCCAGCTCTGGGAAGTGTCTACACTGAGGTTAAGTGTCCCTAGCCCCTGGAGCAGCAGAGTGATACAGCTGTAGGCCCCAGTCTCCATTGTGTAGAAACACTCCTGGGGTTTGAAACCAAGATTCAAGCAAGGTTCCCAAGAACAGATCCTGCAGCCAGGAAGCTGTGGGTGGAACCATCTGAACCATAGTCTGTTGTGGAGTCAGGGAGTTCTCATTCCTAGGAAAGCCTTGGCCAGCCCTCCTACCCTGGCCCCCATGGCCCTCTGGGTGGAGGCCGCTCCCCAGTGGTATGGTATAACACACTGTATCAGTTGCAGAAGGCACCCAGCTAGGTGCTACTCAGGGCCCTGCTGCTAATTGACATGCCTAGCAAGTATCCACATGTGTGCTCACCCGTGTCTCAGAGTGCGGGTGCATAGGCATGGCTGGCTTCCTGTGGTATATATATATATACCCATGGGGACATGTCTCAAGATACCATGAATTTCCTGAGAGGAAGGAGTGGCCAGGCCTCTCAATGTGTACATGTAATGTTTGTTGCTGAAGGTGGGTGAAGAGAGCGCATCAGGGCGTCTGCTGCAGAGACAGCCATGACCTCACACCTGTGTCTGTGCTCCCCATTCCTGTCCCTAGGCTAGATAGGCTTTCAGCTGCAGGGAGGAGAGTGTCTCCCTCCCAGGAAGATGTCACCTCCTCTGCAGGTGAGTCCTTGTCCTCCAGGTCCACTTGGAACCTGCCCTTGCTCCCCACTCTCACGCCCTCTGTTGAAGACAGGCAGCCCGGGCTCAGGAAGCGCACAGACTGCATGGAGGCTGGCTGAGCCACCCTCTCTGAAGTGAGTGTGTGTTCCTCGGACAAAGGTGTCCCTTCACCCACTGCTGCAAGTGAGGGTCCACACGGAGTGTCATACGGCACCGAGCACACACAAGCCTCGTGAGAGATCCCCTCTTCCCTAAGAGAGGTGTCTCCAGTCACCTATCCAACTCTTCCCTCAGAAGAGCTTCATTAAAACTCGCCTCACAGAAGGCTGGCTCTCTTCGTGCCATACCCACAGCCCCCAGGAGGGCTGGTGGCGGAGGCTGAGCTGAAGATAGTTAGGAGCTCCTTGGCCCAGCTCTGTACTTGGCCTGCCCTCCTGGTCCCCACCCCTGATGGACATACCCTTGCAGGCGCTCCATGAAGTATACACTATGCAGCGACAACCATGGCATCAAGCCCCCCACCCCAGAGCAGTACCTGACTCCACTGCAGCAGAAGGAAGTTTGCATCCGGCACCTGAAGGCCCGGCTCAAGGACACACAGGACCGGCTCCAGGATCGGTAAGTGGCAGCCAAGGGAAACCGTGGGAATACCCACCGGCTCTAATCTCAGCAGAGCCAGGGTCCTGGGTATCCCCTGTGAAGGAGGACGGGTGGGCCTTGCTGCCATCTACCAACTCTCCTCTCAGCAAAGCCTCGTGTGGGCCCATCTGTAGAGGCTCCAGCCCCCAGCACCCCTTGACCACTTTAGGCAGGTTCCTGGGGCCAGTAGGAAAGGGTCCCGGTGAGGACTGTCAGTCATTTCCTGCTGGTCAGGAGCTGCTGTGGCTGAGCCTTGTCAGCCTGAGGGTCTCCCAGGAGCTCGGGTCCAGCTGTGCTCACTCTCAAGCCCCTGGGGACACTGGTGCTGCCCTCCTGGTGCTTTCATCTCTGAAAGTCACACTTCACAGGCTGAGCACTATAGCACGTGTGTGTCACCCCAGCACTCAGTAGGCTGAGGAAGGATTGTAAGCTTGAGGACAGCCTGGAACGCATAGTGAGGCCTTGTCACAACAAACAACAAAAACTGTTAGGGTGGGCGTCCCCAGCTCCAGCCCCCTTCACCAGCCTCCTCTGAACTGTGTCTGTTCTGAGGACGACCAAGCTTTGCGGGGACACTAGAGCTCAGGGCAGGCACCCCACTGTGCCTTTTCTTCCTTCTCCAGCAGCTTTCATACCCACCCAAAGTTATTCTACACACCACAGAACTGGCCTACCCAAAGCAACCACAGGATGCTGTGTACCACGTCTCAGAGTTGTCACAATTGCCACAGTCTGATACCTCTTTTGTTGGTTTTTACATCCCAACCAGTTTCCCCTCCCTGCTCCCAGTCCTTCCCCCCACTTCCCCTCTTCCCTCCAGTCCTACTTGTTTCTCTTCAGAAAAGGACAGGCCTCCCATGCATATACCATCCATGGTAGATCAAGTTATAGTGAGACTAAGAACTTCTAAGTAGGAGGAATGGGTCCCAAAAGCAGGCAACAGAGTCAGAGACCGCCCCTGCTCCCCCTGTGAGGGGTCCCACAAGAAAACCAGGTTATATAGCTGTAACATATGCAGAGGGCCAAGGTCAGGCCCATGCAGGCTCCCTGGTTGTTGGTTCCGACTCTGTGAGCCCCTATGAGCCCAGGTTAGTAGGTTCCATGGGTTTTCTTGTGGTGCCCTTGACCCCACTGGCTCCTACAATTCTTGTCCCTCTCTTCCAAGCTCTGCTTAATATTTGGCTGTGGCTGCATCTATCTCCATCAGTTGGGCTAAGCATCATTCTATGAGTGTAACAGAGTATCATTAGGAATCATTTCACTGGCTTTGGGGGGGGGTTGTTTGTTTGTTTTTGCCAGTCATGTTTGGTTCAATCCTAGGCTCTGGGGTATTCTGCCTCTGGGTCCTGGCCCTCAGGGGTGAGCTCCCTCTCATGGCATGGGTCTCAAGCTGGACCGGTCATTGGTTGGTCACCCCCACAGTTGCTGCGCTTTGATACTCTTTACTACCCTATCCCCATTAGCAGTCACTCCTCATACTCTCCAATCATCCTGGCATCCATTGGTCTTCCTGTCTTTATCCATCTCTGGACATGTAATGGTACAGCATTCTACTGGTCCTGCCTGGCTTTGTTGAGGTTTCAGAGGTCAGGGCGGTCAATGGGCTCAACTATCCTTGAACTAAGGTTTCCTTTTCAGGTTCCTGCCCTCTTCCCAGGGATCCTCGGGGTCTGATTGTCCTGTGGCACTGATGTCCACAGGGAGCCAGCAGTCCATCCCCAGCTTCTCTGAGCCAGCCAGCAGTGGCATACAGGCCATCTACCTGTATTTGGCAAAATGTCCTCTTGTGCCCAACCACTCTGTTGCCCTTAAAAGGCCCCACAGCAGGCCTGTCCTTGGCACAGTGCCTTTCTCCTCACGCCCTCCAGGTATTATTTAATATCCATACTTCCTATGCTAGCCTGACTTCTACTTCTCAGCCAGCATGTGCATCAACAACCCCCTCTGTGCTGTGGATACTGTGTCCCCACACTTTGATGTGCTTTTTCTTCCAACTTTGCATCCTAGCCCGATCCTTCCTTTAAGATGCAGTTCAAATGTTATTCCCATAGCTCCGGGCCAGCTCAGGACTGGGAAGCCATTGCCCCTGAGCTCTATCTGGCTCCAGGGAGAGAAGGCAAAAGGGGGCAGCTGAGCTGAGCATGCCCAACTCACCTCTCGGGGCAGGCACCAGTGGGAAGTAGAAATGCCCCACCCTGAAGAAGAGGCAGGAGATCAAGGACCCCCATGCCTGTCATCTACCTGCAGTTGCCACTCAGGTAGCTCCAGTTCACTGTCCTCCCCCAGCCCACTGATGAATCATACCATGTTGAGTGGTCAGACCCTTCTAGAGGATATTGCTTGGCATCTGGAGCCTATTTCCAACTGCGATTTTCAATCTAACTTTGGAAAATCTGTGGTTCCTTATGTGGTACAGTCACTCTGCTAGGCTCATAACCCTGCCTAGTGACAGCCATGCCATTGGTAGTTTATTCCCATAAGCCAGACTTCCAGCTGAGATGTTGTATGTGGGTCTCCCCTCTCAGAAGGTCCTGAGGAATACCTGGGTAGGATGGTAAGCCTCCCTGAGTGTCCTCCTTTCCCAGTGCTTGCAGTCAGTGTCCACTGGGTCTCACCTGATTTTCCCTTTCGTCACGGTGGCATGGTTCACTAACCACCTTCCTCTTCAACACCCAGGCCCTTCTGTAACTCAGGGACTTGAAAGGTTGTAACATCTCTGGGTGGAAGTCTTGATGCAGTTCTACTTGCTGGCACAGACCTTCTCTTGGCAACTGCATTTCTCATCCTTCTCTTCGGCCTCTCCTCTTGGCAGTAAAATCTAGCATGGTCCAAGAGAGCCACCCAGTCCTCCTCACCCAGCTCATTTCACCTCTGTGCGTTCTGCAAGAGGAATGTTGTAAAATCATCAGCTCCCCTGCACAGTCTCTTCTGGGGTTAATGCTGTGAAGGGCATGGCTTAGTGGTGAGATGGGGATGTGGCTCCTCCTGCCATTTTCTTTCCCTCCGGGAGTCTCTCTTATCTTGGCCCCTGGTTACACCCACCCTTCCTCCTCCCTATGGGATGAAAGGAAGAAGAGGTTTTAGACCCTCCTACCTAGCTTTGAGCCACCCACTCCCCACCCCCACTCCACCCCCCACCCCGCTCTGGGGCCATCTGTGTTTGGTGGCATCCCCTTTCTCTCCACAGCAGCAGTGACAGGTCAGGGGGACAGGCTATAGAGTAAGTATGTTTCCTTGGCTCACAGGGACACGGAGATTGATGACCTGAAGACCCAGCTGTCCCGCATGCAGGAGGACTGGATTGAGGAGGAATGCCATCGTGTGGAAGCCCAGCTGGCTCTGAAAGAGGCCCGCAAGGAGATCAGGCAGCTCAAGCAGGTCATCGACACGGTCAAGAACAACCTGATTGACAAGGACAAGGGGCTGCAGAAGTACTTCGTGGACATCAATATCCAGAACAAGAAGCTGGAGACACTGTTGCACAGCATGGAGGTAGCCCAGAACGGAATAGCCAAGGAGGAAGGAACCGGGGAGTCGGCTGGTGGGTCCCCTGCACGCTCCCTCACCCGCAGCTCCACCTACACCAAGCTGAGTGACCCAGCTGTCTGTGGTGACCGCCACCCAGGGGATCCCTCCAGCGCCTCTGCTGAGGATGGAGCTGACAGTGGCTTTGTGGCTGCGGACGACACACTGAGTCGGACGGACGCCCTGGAAGCCAGTAGCCTGCTATCATCAGGAGTGGACTGTGGCCTTGAGGAAGCCTCATTGCACAGCTCCTTCAATCTGGGCCCCCGATTCCCTGCTAGCAACACCTATGAGAAGCTGCTGTGCGGCATGGAGGCTGGAGTGCAAGCCAGCTGCATGCAGGAGCGGGCCATCCAGACAGACTTCGTGCAGTACCAGCCTGACCTAGACACCATCCTGGAGAAAGTAGGCCAGGCTCAGGTGTGTGGGACAGTCCCCAAGGACAGGCACTCAGAGCTGGATCCCCACCCCTCAGGGCCCAGAGACCCCAACTCAGCAGTGGTGGTGACAGTAGGTGACGAGCCTGACGTCCCAGAGCCTATCACCTGTGGGCCAGCTACACATCAGCCTGCAGCCAACTCCAACCCGGGACTGCCCGTGAGTGTGATGTGTCCTGTGGAAGAGGAGGAGGAGGCAGCTACCACCGAAAAGGAACCCAAGAGTTACTGGAGCCGCCACTACATTGTGGATCTGCTGGCTGTGGTAGTACCAGCTGTGCCAACAGTGGCCTGGCTCTGCCGCTCCCAGCGGCGCCAGGGCCAGCCCATTTACAACATCAGCTCCCTGCTTCGGGGCTGCTGCACAGTGGCCTTGCACTCCATCCGCAGGATCAGCTGCCGCTCACTGAGCCAGCCAAGCTCCAGCTCAGCAGGTGGCTCCCAACTCTGAGGAGGCTACCATACCAGCCCTCCACTTCTGGCAGCCTGACCACTGATTGTAGGATGCCATTTGCTGCCCCCCCCCATCAGATCCCTGTGGTCATCCTCTTATTTACTTTCAGGTCTGGAATAGCACCCCGCACCCCAAATGTTAATAGTATCAGGGATTCAGAAAGGCATCCCAAAGCTTCAAGAGAAAAAGTAAAGGTGGCCAGGTGAAGAGGGAGAAACTAAGAGTCCCTCTGGCCCCTCTGGCCACCCAGACTCAGACAAGGCAGGCCTTGCTCAGAAGGTCTCTGGCTGTGTTGACCTGGGGATCTTCCTTTCCCTTGCACCATCCTTCCCAGCACCCAGCACACTCCATGTCTTCTCTCCCAGGCCACCCCTTGCCCTCCCTCTCCTAGGCTCCTGGACCAGTATTACCTCCTCAAATGGAGGCAGCCAGGACCCAAAATGCAGAGAACCACTCCAAGCAGGGTCTCGCTGCCCAGGTCCCACTGACACTCCAGCCTCTCCTCCTCCCTTGCCCTGGGATACAAAAGTGTGATCCAGCTGGAATAACCAGCTCAGGCAGGAAGGGTAGAGAGCAGGGTAGGTTCTGTGTCTGTCTGTCTGTCCTCCAGGCCTTCCCCATAGTCTGTTTTCCTCATGGCGTCTGGGTGTGTTAGATCTTCACAAACTGTCCAGTGCCCCTCACCACTCCTGACACACTAACCATGGGATTGGGAGGGAGTCCTTACCCAAGCCCCAGCTTCCATTGGGTGAATCCTCCAGCACAGAGAAGGCAAGGCCAGCAGCTCTTGGGGCCCTTTACTCATCTGTAGCCTAGAGGTGCCTCAGCAAGTTGGGAAAGTCAGAGGCCACTTGCCCCAGGCCCCTTTGACCTCAGACCCTGTGTTTGCACTCCATTCCCTTAGGGTCTTGGTTTCCCGCCCACCCCAGAACCCCAAGTCTGCTTACTTTCTGGGATGAAGGCTTCCGAATCTCTGACCCAGTTGTCTCCAGAGGAAGGTGACCATCTGGAGGGATCTCCAGGTGGTGTCCTGAAGCCACAGCATCTGCCTATCCATGCCAAAGCAAGGTCCCCTGGGTGTGCTTCCTAAGCAGGGGCATGGCCAGGCAGTGGGAGCCTGCCTGGGCTGCTCCTGGTCCAGGCCCATTCAGCCTGGGAAGATGCCCTGAGCCTCACTCCCCTCTTCTTCCCAGAGAGGCCATACCTACTTGACTGGCCCACACCGGGGAGTTGGTGGAAGCCTGCATCTCACTCTCTGACATAGGAGCCGCTCTGGTTCTCTGCTGAGGTCACTTGCCCTCACCGTTGCCCCAGTGACCACTACTTGACTCATGAGTTCTGCCCCTCCACTCTGTGCCCTCCCCGGGGGCACCTGCATGCACTGCGAGTGGGCAGCCAGCCTAGCCATCAGGGCAAGAGCCCTCTGCCACACGCTTTGTGCCTCCAAAACTCCCCCACCTTCACTGGGGCCTCAGACCAGCCATCCTTGGTGGAGCACCCCTACCCCAGCTGAACCAAACCCAAATGCCCGAGGCCTCGCTGGGGCTGCCCCATAGGACACTGGGGTGGTGCCATGGAGACAGGGGATAGAAGTGATCCAAAGCCAAGCCAGGACTGGCCATGGACTGAGCCTCCTGTGCCATGCACTCATGGAGCTCCATATGTCTCCTTAGCAACAGTCGAAGCTCTGCTGAGAAAATAAATGTATGAACTATATTTGACAACATAAAAATCCATATATTTTTCACACCACTGGCATTTAGTCCAACTTCGCAGCCCCTCTGTTCCATGTCTTGCTGTCTGGGCCTTCTTGTCATGTCTCGTGTTTTGGTGGACTTGGGCAGGGCTAGGACTGTGGTCCACTCTGTTCCTGCTGCTGGAGAAGCCATTGTGAAGCATCCAGGTCTGTAGAGACAGTAAGTAGTGAAACTGACCATCACCTGCTCCTGCTCTGATCCTAGCCCTGCCTTGCGTACAGCAGGGGTCCTCTTTTGTGAGTTCTGCCTATCAGAAGGGCTCTGCTCCTTGCCAGTGGAGTGAGCAGGTCATTACCCAGCCCTTGGATGACCCTGGATCCCTGCAGGCCAGGGTACAGGCCCTGTTCCTAAGCATATATGAGTTCAGAGTCCCATAACTGTATGAGGGGGTTGCAATACCTGTGCAATCCCATGAAGTGGGCTTAGACGTGGACACTTCAGCAGCCTGCTGGTCCCAGATCTGGAGAAGGGGGCTGAGAGCGAGATGGGACTGGGCCAGGCTCCCCCTTCGATGCTCATCCCCGAAGCTCCCCCCTTTCCTTCCAGTTGGCTAGCCCACCATAGGCTGCCCTCTTGCCCTTGGCTCCTGGAGCAGAAATGTTTAGGGTGCCCCTTTCCCCTGCCTCCAGTCAGAGCTGACAAGGTCTTGAGGAAGTGTCCCCAGGAACTACTTCTATAGCCACTGAGCCCTTGGGAGCACAGTGGCTTGAAGTAGTGGCTCCTTAGTTCTGGAGCCCAATGTCAGGGCTCAGTGAGGACTTCTGAACAGAGGCAGCCTTGAGCAGAGTTCATGACCAATGTCTCAAGCAGGTAGCATACATAGCTTTTCACCAAGACCCCTTTCCACTTTCACAGGCATCGGACAGAAGATCCCAAGCTCTAGGGCCAAAGGCTATTTATTGAGGGTCCTCCACCCAGGGAACTCACACCCCCTCCTAACTAGATGACAACACAAACAGGCCATCATGCACTCACATTAGGCTATTCCCTTGACAGAAACTTCAGGGGACACAGGAGGGGGCCGTGGGGAGGGGCTTTGACTCGGTCTCCTTTGTCTTTTTGTTCAGACAGAGTTGTGCCTGTAGCAGACAGCCCTGAATTAAAGCATGAACACACACACAGCCCCTCAGCCTGGTGTCTTTGTACCGTGTCATTTCTCTGTGTTGGGGTGGCTGAGAAACTCACCATGGCACCCAACACAGATGGAACCCGCTCTTGGCTGCCTCAGCCCTACCAGGCCCTATTGTGTAGGGTGGGGCCTCTCTAACCATCTGGGATCAGGTACAGGATCTAGAATCCCCACTCTGATCTCAGATCACATCCTGCCCAGCACTGAGAGAATATTCCAGTTCTTCCCAGTAGTCCTGAAATGGCTTCTTTGGCCCATTCTGTAGCTACAAAAACAGCCATAACCACTCAGGCAGGGGTCCCCAAGCCAGTAGAGGGTCTCCTCAACTACCCCTGCCACATGACCCTCAGTGCCAACATCCCTATGGCAGACTGGCAAGCATCCCACAACACAGAAACAGATCACTGCTCCCTGAGGGGGTACACAGGTAAGACCTTGTCCAAAATCAAAAGTAACCCTGGCATGTCATAGGACCCAGGATCCTGGAATTTCTGGGAACTTTCATGGAAGGGGCTGTGTTTAAAATACACTCTTTATTCAAAAGACAGTAAATGGTTACAACTAACCTACAGACAGTAAAGGGTTACATAAGTAATCTATGCACAATCTGTGACAAAGATCAATGAAGACAAAGAACACAGCAATAATTCCTCTGTCAAGTCAGGTGGCTGACTTCCTAGAAGAGGCAAAATCTGCAAAGGGACCCAGCGGCACTCAGTGACATTCTGCTGTTCTGCCTAAGTGCCCAGTGTCTAGGGTACAGAGCACCAAATGCCTGAGTCCCACCTGAACCTCAGCACACACAGCTAGGAGTCAGGACCCAAGGAGGCCTGAAAACAGCCATGACAGACTCATTCAATAGGCATCCGCCTGGGTCATGCCCCTGCAGTACCCAGACCCAAGCAGCAAGCCAGCTGCAACCTGTCATCTGAGGATTGCTGCAGGGTGGCAGGGGGCCTGGGCTGTGACTTCAGATGTCTGGAATGGAGTGGTCCATGGTGTGATGAAGCAGCAATGGGGACAACCTAGACAGGACAACAATAACAGTGGCTGAAACTGGCAGCTCATCTTCCTTCATCCCCATCCCTGCCTGTGCACCCCACGGGGCCTGCATTCAGCCCCCACTTCTGAGGATTTCAAGTCATGAGAAGCCACTGGCTATCACGAACTGAAGAAGAGTCAAAGACAGAGCAGAGCAGACCTTTGCCCCGGGTCAGTACCGAGGCTGCCAGGACATAGGAGTGGAGAGGAAGCAAAGTGCAGAGGTCAGGTTAATAGCCTTACTTTTTGACCATATGCTCGTAGATCACAGTGGGAATGAGGGTCAGCGTGATGACATTTCCAGCTGTGGTCAGAATCTCTGTAATCTTTTTGTCCTGAAGAGGGGGAAGTGGTTGGTCATTTGGAGGAACAGGAGTAGCATGGCCATCTGACTGGTAGCTCAGCATGGCTGATGCTAGAGGGTACCACCTATACTTCACACCTGCCTGCAGCAGCTGGCTGCCTGGGACCCTGGACATCTCAGCTGGGGTATCCTTCCTCTGAGTTGAGTATTGGCAAAAATCAAAGGAGCATGGCACTGGCCTCCCATTCCTGAAGGCCAGCCATGTGGACCTTATGGCACTGCCCCATAAATGTGATTCTCCAGCCTCGGCCAACTTCGCTGGCCCCAGTTACACCTGGGCTCCTGTGGAAGACACTGGGTCCACCTGCGTTCTCAGGCTCCTGATGGCTCACCAGCCCAAGCCAGTCACATGGATCCTCTCCTCGATGACTAGTAAGATCATGAAGAGAATAGACAATTGCCATGGAAACAGTGTCCACCAGTCAATCGACTACAGTTGTGGTAATGAGCCTCTGGTCTCTGCTCAGGCCCTGATGAATGTCATTTTGCATACATATAAAATCTGATTCTGTGCTTTCTTAGTTGTTCCAGAATAAATGGAACAGTTGCCCTATAGGACTAGTGATAGCCACCAACTCTGATAGATAACTGATCTTAAAAAGGCATACCTACCAGGCACTGCTCAAGAGTGAAGACCTGGTACCTGATGGTCTCTTACTGAACCTGTAAGTTCACAGTGATACCTTGGACCATCTGTGCAGATATATGACCCACATCCGAGCACAGCTACACTCAGAATTATGAACGGACTGTTTTCTTTTCAAAGAAGCAATCAATCCCTAGGTGCTCAGGAGCAGCATTACTGCAGTCAGCTTTTCAAGCGGTGATGATGGTGGCCTTTTGCTTGGTATACTTAGTCACAGAGTAATGGGAGCAGATTGGCCAGGAGGGATCTCAAACATACAACTTCCTGGCCACAGTAGTACAGCCACTAGAACAAGTCTCCACAGAAGGTGAAGGGAGACTGCCTGGGACAAGGAAGCAGACACATGAGTGGCTTGTGCCCACTGTGGAGTGAGGTGCCACCACCTGCCCCATGAGCACCATCTGGTGGAGAGGTACTCCCACTGTAGTGGCATGGGTCAGGACAGGGTCGCCCTCACTTGTTCAAGTCTCAAACCACAGCTCATTACTGCCCATTCCCAGAAGAACCTCTCTTTGAGCATCTACAGCACGGGCCTAAAGCTGTGTGTACCTTCTTGCATTGTAGAAATAGAATTCACCTGCCCTCTCTGAATAAGCCAAGGCCAGAAATGGAGGTCCAAGTCACAGTTTTCTAAAGGAAACCCCATTACTGAATGTGACCAGCATCTAATGAGAAATGTCACACAGAGGAGGAGGTGTCCTCGTGGCCAGCAGCCACCTGGGAGTCCATGTCCTCACACATTATGCTACCCCACTGGCCCATCTTGCATGTTAGTAACTAGAATGAACTCTTACTGGGCACCTACTCATTCTGATTGACACTGCTCAGAGCTCCACACACAGTCATACGAAAGCCCCCATCCACCTTAGCTTGGGTATGTTGAAGCTCTGGCTGGTTCTACAGCCTTTGCAGGCAGGAGCATGCCTGCCCCCACCGTCTGCACAGCGCCTGCATTTCCCGGCAGAGCTATACCGCTGCCTACCTTTAACCCAATGACGTTCTGTCCGTTCACCTCACACACATAGTGGTTGGTGAGAAGTCCGTTACGGGCTGCAGAGCTTCCCTTTACCACAGATACAATCTTCCCCTTCTTGATGAAAAAGCCAACTTGGCCTGAGCTGTCCTTGTGCATAGTGACAGTCCGCTGGAATGGCCTGGAAGACAGTGACAGTAAGCTGGGCTTGCTGGTGTGGCTAGGGCCAGGCAGGGAGGATGCTGGGACTTGGCTACTGACCTGTCTCGAACAATCATGGTGATTTTCTCTGCTGATGCCTTCTTCAACGCTTTGTGAGCTTTGTATGTGCTCCACCCAGCACAGTCACACCCATCAATCTGCAGGATCTGGTCCCCAAAGCGCAACCCCACGAGGGATGCAGGGGTGTTGGCCTGGACCAGCTGTACAAAAAGGCCCTGGGAAGCAAAACTCCAGAGTCAGCACCCCTGGCTGCCCGAGACCAGGCCCCTCCTCTAAGATGGTCTTCCCCTCTTATCCTGTGAGCTTAAAGCATGGTGGGACCTAAGATCTGCAGGGAGATATACAGGTTACAGCTATATTCCTGGAGGAGGAAACACACCAGACCACCCAGAGGATGCTGAATCAGGATTTCAGCATCACAATCAGTTCTCCTGTACCACCCTTCCCAAAGGAATCTGGCTGACTTTCTCTACAGTCATCAGGAAGCCAGGCCCATGCGAGTTGGGGCACAGGAAATGGGGGCTCTGTGTAAAAAGAGCCTTGTATGGGACTGAAAGAGGACCCCTGCTACAACCAGGCACAGCTTGAGGCCTCGGGTATTAAGGTGCCTGCTTGGAACCTTTCTTACTGTGGACAGAGGCTCTCTGAGACCTGGGAGAGGAGGCTCCTATACACTAGGCCATCTCAGACTGCTGGGAAACTGTCCTAAAGGCAGCTTGTATCCCTGGGGCTGTGACAAGTGGTACTTAGCACCAGAGGGGCACACTGTCCTCCAGGGCCTCCTCCGCAGATCTTGCTTACCTTGTCAACAGCCTGCAGGCGCAGTCCAGTCTTGCCACGCTCGTCCTTGCACAGGTGGATCTCACGCACCCCAGGCTTAATCTCTGCACGTAACACACCCAGGTTGTTCCCAGAGACTGGTGCTATAACCTGGCCATGCCCAGGACTGGTGACCACCATCTGCGGACCCAGTAGTGGGGAGTCAGCCAAGCACCTGGGGCCCATGCCCCAAGAACCTCTGGGCTCTAGGGTGGCATAAGAGGATGGAACAGTTCCTGAGTCCCCCCCCCCGCCTCCCCTCCCCCTTCACACAAACACACACACACACACACACACACACACACAACAAACTTTACAGAAGCTAAGAGGGAATAGAGCTTGATGATGCCACTAGAGGGCATCAAAATCCATACCCTAAACATGAGAGAAAGGGAAGCTGGGTTCAAGAAGGGGTCCCTTTATTTTCTAAAGGAAATGAAAATCAAGAGAAGATCTACTTAAAACAAAGACATTTTCACATCAAATAGTGGAAATAGCCATGGAAAATGAAAGGCTAGGTTTGACTTTGTCCTGGACCAAAAATAAAAATTAACAAATGGTTCCTCCTAGGAGACAGAAAGGGATCTCTAGTCTCAGATACAAGACAGGGGGGGGCAAGAAAATGGGAAAAGGCACCCAGGAGAGAAAGGAGATATAGTTAGTTCTGTTGATAAATGGTCTACTAGAATATCCATAGAAATCTAAAAACAAATTCCTAGCTATAAGTAAATGAAGACAAACATTCAAAGTCCTAGAGAGCTGCCATATAGAAATCAACTATGTTGGGCATGGTGGCATACATCTGCAGTCTTAGCTACCAAGGAGGCTGAGACAAGAGAACCATTTGAACCCAGGAGCTGGAAGTCAGCTCAAACAACAGAGTGAGACTCAACTGCTTATCTCCACCCTGATTTAAAAATAGAAAAATGAGATATGTATGAATCTAACAAGACATGTGCAGACATTGTATACCAAAGATGACACAAATCCTGATTAAACAAAGACCTGATTAACAAAGACCTAAGCAAACAGTTTTCCTGTATGCACTGGAAGAGCTGGTAAACCTGTCAAATCCTCAATGCACCGACCAGCACATTTCTATCATAGTTCTCTACGAGCTCTTTTGGTAGCTAGCTTTAGGTAATCTAGCTTTAGGTAGAGAGGCAACGGAATGTGAATAGTGAAACTGATTCAAACAAAAAGAACAAGATGTGAAGAACTGCACAGACACTTCGAGGCTTCTCTTGCCATAATACCAAGGCAGCAAGTATGAGACCCCTCAGTCAACAATCAACTAAGAAATCCAGAGAGATCCTTACCATTGGAAGAACTGCCTGTAGTCAAGATCAGTTGAGGGGGATGGGGTTATCTCAACAAGATCCACTAAGGTAATGGATGGCCCGGGCAATAATAGGAGACATGACATAAATTACACCTTTTCCAAAAATATGATTAAATTTAATTATAAAGTTGTCTTAGCTAGGGTTTCTATTGCAGATTTATCATATTGTGTAGCAATTGCAAATTCCACCCCATTATGTCAAAATGGAAGCTTGTATCCATATAAAAGCCTTTACACAGCAACTCTGTATATAATAGTAAGAAAGTGTAAAATTTCCCTTGGCAGGTAAGAAGTGGCAGCTGTGCATGCATGAGAACCTGAATTCAGATTCTCAGAATCCACATAAAAGGCTGGGTATGTGACCATGTATCTATGGCTCCAGTGCTGGGGAGCTGGGGAGACAAAGACAGAAAGATCCCTGCCATTCATTACCCAGTCTGGCCAAATCAATGAGCTTCAGTTTCAGGGAAAGACGCTGTCTCAAAAAATAAAGGTGGAAAGAGGCAGAGCAAGACATCAATCCTAGTCTACACACAGACACACCACTAACACATACATACAACACCCTAAAAGAGTCCTAGTTTCTGGTTTCTGCTTATATAACACCCTGAAATAATAAGATTATACAGACAGAAGACAAGGCTGGGAGTGTGACGCAGTGCTAGAACACCCTAATACCCATGAGGTTCCCAGTACTGCCAAAGAAATAGAAAGGGGGTGGAGTAAGGGATGGAAGATGAGAAGGTTGCCAGGAGTTAGGGGAGGAGGGAGGAGGCGTGACCGCAAAGGGATAGGAGAGCTTCCTGAGGAGGGCGGCTACCAACACACACTTTACTAGTGTAAACTATTGGTCTTGCTACTATGGTCATGAAATAGACTTCCTATCTTAGCAAGTTATCACGAACCAACTATTTTTTAAAAAAAAAAAAGTTGAAAGTAACTACAATAATAGAAAATGTTGAGTAAGGAGCTAGAGAGATAGCTCAGCAGTTAAGAGCACTTGTTGCTCTTGCAGAGGACCAAGACTTGATTCCCAGCATCTACATGGTGGCTAACAACCTTTTATAACACCAGTTCTAGAAACCTGACACCCTCTTCGGGCTTCCTCGGGTACCAACCACACATGTAGTACACATACACACAAGCAAAACAATCATGTACATAAAAATAAAATAAGTCTTTTTCAAAATTATCTAGGAGATCTGGTGCATGCCTTTAATCACAGCACTAAGGAAATAGAGGCAGTATGGTCTACAGAACTAATTCAAGGACAGCCAGGACTACACAAAGAAACCTGTCTCAAAAAAAAAAAAAAAAACAAAAACAAAACCAGCCAAACAAACAAACAAAAAATCCAGGAGTGATGGTGCATGTCTCTAATTCCAGTACTTGGAAGATAGAGACAGGTATCTCTATGAGTTTGAAGCTACCTGGTCTACATAGCCAGTTTCAGGACAGTCAAGGCTACACAGTGAGACTATACCCCTGAAAAAAAAAAGCCCATCATAATTTAGGGTGAGTGCATCTGGGCCCCAATTACTGTAAGAGTGGCTGGGTTGACACACATGCACATATGAGCAGGCATGCACACACACACACACACACACACACACACACACATACACACACACACACACACCTTTTAAAATGGCAAGACCAAGAGGTAGGATGTTTAGTGGTCACCTGAGGCAGGAGACAAATACCTACATTGTCACCATCTGGAATCTGAGGTAGGCTCTTCTGGACTTCTTGGCTCGAGAGGGACAGCCCCATGTAACTCTCCAGCTCTGCCAAGTTTGGGTACAGCTCTGGTGGTAAAGAAGAGGGAAGGGATCACTCAGGGGCTTGTACAGAGCCACTCAGGGACCCAGTGAAGTTGAAAAACTTCACCAAGAACACCTATCCCCTGTGCATCCTAGGGATGCTTGCCAGTGGCATGGGCCAGGTCTGCCAAAGGCTTGAGGCACCTTTGTCTAGGAGCAGCCCCAGTCACTGAGAGCATCCTGTACCACACAAGTACTCAGTTCTGCTTGCTTCGGCACCAGTGGGACAGGACACAAAGCCAGAGTAGGTACAAGACTACCAGGGACCACAGGCCACGGTGGAGAGCAGCTCAGGGAGACAGCAGAGCACTGAAAAGGGGGACCATGGGCCCTAGTTTAAGCTTCTCTCATAGGACTAACCCAAGATTGCTATGGGCTTCTATAAGGGCTACTTCAAGATCTGGTCTCCCAGATGGTCTGCCTATGGCGGCACCAAATCGGGCAGTTCCTGCCTCACTATGTCATTTTCTCCAATGTTTCCTCAAAGGGTGAAGGTTAACCATGCATGAGCCCCAACAAAGCGACAACTACAAATGGGCATTGAGAAGTAGCCAGAATGCTGGGCCACTTCCTCAGGGTCAGTTTAATGCACACACCCAGGAGAGGCAGGCAAAGGAGACTCAAATCACCTTGCATGCCTGGTGAGAGGCCCAGCAGTGCTGGGGGTGTGATGGAGTTGGAGCTTTCATGACACTGGGGTCAGGCTCACTCACCTGAAAGTGGGGGTGCAGAAGCTATCGGAGCCGATGGAGTAGACAACTTGGGTGAGGCTCTGGCTTGGGCCTGAAAAGAACATGGAGTGTTGCTCGGCTCTAGCTGGGACTCTTGGCACCTGGGACTCCCTGAGGCAGGGACTCTTGAGCATTGAGTATGATTGCAGCTTGTGGTGGTTTGGTGCCCTGGAACCATCAATGCTCCAGACCGTATGTAAATTAGCCTCTACATATGTATGTGCATCTGCCAGGTATAGAAAGTCAAATTCTGCATGTGCTCATGCACACCAGAGCTAAATGGATGATGTTCTACAGCACAGAGGGCAACTGTGATGCACATCCAGCAATGATTAATATTTCAAATAACTAGCTGAGAGGTGATTAAGTATTCCAAGCCTAAAGAACTGAAGGGATGGATGGATGGATGGATGGATGTGTCAGCCCCCGCCCCACCCAATCTGACAAGTATAGTGTGTACATGGGTTGAAATGTCACATGTACCCAATGAAAATGTATAGCCACAAAGTGTAGTGAGATAAAAATCAAAATGCTATCCTTTTAAAAAGTGGCTTCTTAGGGCTAGAGAGATGGGGCTCAGCAGTCAAGGGCACTGTTCCCAGGGGCTCAGTCCCCAGCACCCACATCACAACTCATAACCATCTATAACTTCAGTTTCAGAGGATCTGATACCCTCTTTGGGCCTCTGTGGGCACTGAGCAAACACATGGTACATATACACCCATGCAGGGAAAGCATATACACAAGTATAAAAATAAGCAAATCTTTTCTTTTTTAATGTGGTCTCTTTGGACATGCATCTTTCTGGCAGAAAGTTCTCTGGGGCCTGTGACCAACTATTTTCTGCTCATGGCAGCTAAAGCATGAAAGCCCAACTCTCAACCAAGTTCTCATGGAAAAAGGCCAAAATTCCCAAAGATTTGTGGGAACGCAGAGGGGATGGGGTAGAGGTGGGAAAGGCTGTTTGGGGCTGATCAGTCTGAGTCCATACCCTGGGTTTCCTGGGGAAACTGGCTGGCACCTGGTGTGTTCCTTCAGAGGATGGGGAAGTGCCAGAACCCACATGACTGTGGCTGGTTTGTTTTTCTACTTCTCCACAGGCCTTGACTCCTGGATTCTCCCTTTATCCATCATCCCAGCGGTTCTCAACCTTCCTAATGCTAAGACCATTAATACAGTTCTTTATGTTGTGATTCTAGCCATAAGATTATTTTTCTTACTACTTCATAACTATAATTTTGCTGCTGTTATGAATTGTAATATAAATATCTGTATTTGCCAGTGGTCTTAGACAACCCATGAAAGGGTCATTCAATCCCCAAAGGGGTCATGACTTACAGGTTGACAGCCACTGCATCAGCCTCTACACTTAGTCCCAGGGCTTCCAAGGGATTCCCAAGGGCTCCCACTACCCAGCATCATCCAAGACAGGCCTTAGATACTATGGTTAATTCCCAAGGCCACCATAAGGGGCTCTAGGCAAATGGAGCTTGGTTCCTTACCTGGATGACTTGGCCCACCTTTAGGTCCTCCAGAGAAGGGTACAGGACAGACATAACTGCTCCTCGAAGCACCCTGCAGAGCATAGAGGGTGAAGAAGGATGAGGAGTCCCCTCCCATCCTTAAAAAAAAAAAAGGCAGGACAGCTGCCTCCTGCCACCCGCTGTGCCCCACAGCACTATAAGACCATCACCAGGAGTTACTATGCCATTAGACAGGAGGAGCCAAGATTTACACCAGTCTGTCTGGTTCTCACACTCATAATCTCCACCCACAAATATCCACATCTGACTGACCCTGGACCTCAGAAACCAAACCTAGTGGGCCACCCAGAACAACAGACAGGGTCAAGGGCCATGTGTCGAAGATCAGATGAACTAGTGAGGTTTCCTCATCCAGTCCAGCAGGTGCACATAGATCAGCTGTTGCATACCAGGTGCGGCTGGGAGCTGGGACAGCATCACTCACAACCACAAGCAGGTTGGGACTTAGCATTTAAACAGAAAGGCAGGAGACTCTAGAAACCCTCCCAACCCCTTCCTTCCATCCCAAGTGTTTCAGTTCCAGTCTACTATCTGTCTTAGGTAGGGTTGTTATGATGCAACACCATGACCAGAGCAATCTAGGGGGATAGGGTCTACTTCACGCACACTTTCATACACCTGCTCATCACCAAAAGGAACGCAAACAGAGCAGGAACCTGGAGGCAGGAACTGATGCAAAAGCCATAGAGAGGTGCTGCTTACTGGCTTGCTCCTCATGGCCTCAGCCTGCTTTCTTGTAGAACCCAGAACCACCACCCCAGGGGTGGCAAAACAACATGTCAATTAAGAATATGTCCTACAGACCTACCTATGGCTGGATCTTATGGAATATTTTCTCAATTGAGGTTCCTTCCTTTGACTCTACTTGTGTCAAACTGACATAAAAACTAGCCAGTACAATTGGCCCCTTGACAACTTGACACACAAACACACCACTTACTAAGCAACACTCCATGTTGTTTCTCAGGCCCAGGCCAGAACCTCACCCAGGATGCCCACTCTGTTGGCCCTGATGGCTTCTGCACCCCCCACTTTCAGGAGAGTGAGCCTGAGCCCAGGGTTCATGACATAACAGCCCCAACTCATTTCTTGTTATCCTCAAGATCTCATACTAACATTAATATTACAATCAGTCTTTACAAATCCAAACATTTTTGTTGTTTTGTTTGTTTGTCTGTTTGTTTTTGTTTTGGGGGGAGTTGTTTTGGTTTGGTTTGGTTTTTCGAGACAGGATTTGCTGTGTAGATTTGGAGCCTGTCCTGGCACTTGCTCCGTGAGACCAGGTTGGTCTCAGACTCACAGAGATCCTCCTGCCTCTGCTTCCCGAGTGCTGGCATTAAAGGCATGAGCCACTGCTGCCTGGCCCCAAATCCAAACACTTTAAAAAGTGTAGTCTCTTTAAAAATCCAAGGTCTCCTAAAAATCCAAAATCTCTAAAGATTCAAAGTTTCTCAATGTGGGCTCCGTGGCATCAAAAACAAGTTAGATAGAGTCCATTAAGGGAAGAGCCCAGTGGTTTACAAAGCACACTGGAGGCTCCACTCCAGCACCACAAGCCTCCCTCCCACAAATGCACAAGCTGGGGCACTCAGTACAACCCTGCTCCACAGGAGGAAGTGCAGGGGCAGAGCATGCACCCACACATCATCACCCCGCCTGAGAATCCGCAGCACCTCTAAGTGAAGACGCCATTCCCTCCCTAAGTGAACTGTCGGGAAATTTGCACTTCTGGGTTCCTCCCTTTACACAGTAACTCCTTGTAGGCATCTTGTCTGTGAACCTGTAATGGTGGCCACACCCCTTTGGGTGTGGCTTCAGGTGGACAGAAGTAGAAGGAGGGAAGTTTGAGGCATGGCTTCTGTTTGCATGCTCTTTCTGGTGAGTCAGCCGATCCGGTAGGAAGGACAGAGAAATGCTCCTGTGGTTCTTTGTGTTTTCATGTATAAGTGTTCCCCAATAAACACCCATTTATCACTTATCTTGGGTCTAGTGCAGTCACCTTCAACCCCGGGCTCTATCATACTCCCTGCCCTATGCTAGGTAGGCCACTCTAGCTGGATGCCCCACCCTGCCTCCCTGTCACCTCCCCCTTGCTGGACCTGCCTCCTAACCTAGAGGTCACTGCCCTGTCACACTGGTCCCTGCCACCGGGACAGACTCTGAGCTATATATACATCTATCTTGAACTCATCAGTTGTCCTGTGTCATCCCAGCTCACTACTATTAATGGCCAAGGTATGTCCTTCTTGTCCTCATATAACAGGAATGCCAGGAGGTGGCATAGGGAACAGATTAGGCAGTACATGATGTGTGAAAACCAGCCCCATGACCCTGCATGACACACACAGAGCACTGAGGGCATTCTCATTGAGTCACTCTCCTTCTGTACTTGCTGCCCCAACCCATGTCCTCCCTAACTACCATCCCCACCATCCCTCTCAGGCATTAGCAAGTCCTTCTCAACCATATCCCTGCCATAGAGACCTCTTTCACTGTTTGGCCCCTAATCAGTACCTCGGCATCCCCTAAATAGGCCATGACCTCCTTCTCTGCTCCCCAGACAGTAGCCACCCGACCTTTTAAGCATGACGCCAGGATGCTGTGGCTTTGCTTAAACCCCCCTGCCTCTTGGAGGCGGGAGCTGATACAGAGGCCTTGGTAGAGTGCTGCTTTCCATGGCCTCCTCATATCTTCAAAAGCAGTACCAGCTGGGCAGAACTACTGAGTCCAGCTGCCAGCACTGGTACGATGTTGACTGAGCCTCGAATCCAGCTTCTGTGTGCTGACTCTCAGGAAACACTTCCCAGATTTCACCTGACCCATGCTGGTCTCTCTCAATCGCCATTAATTTCTCAGCCCCAGCTGATCAGCATCGATTGTGCCAGTAAAGTGATGGTTTCACTTCAGTGGCATTGGTCTCTAATTAGCTCCAGCTGACAAGAACCACAGATTCTTAAATCAAAATATCAAACGGCCCCAGGAGGGCCTTTGCTACTCTCTGAAACTTCGCAAGCCAGACTTCCATCATCTTCACTGCTTTCAGTACCATCCTCAGATTTCCTGAATTCTCACAATGGCTCACCAAGCTTTCAACTCTCAATGGCTTTTCCAGCTCAAGTCCAAAGTCCTTCCACAATCCTCCCCAAAACAACATAGTAAGGTGGACTACAGCAACACCCCACAACCCTGGTGCCAATCTCTGCCTCGGTTTATTATTGCTGTCATGAAACACTGTGATCAAAAGCAACTTGGGAGGAAAGGGTTTCTCGGACTTACATGTTCTGAATCACAGTCCATTGAACTGAGGGAGGCCAAGGCAGGAACTCAAACTGAACAGGAACCTGGAGGCAGGAGCTACATGACGTAGAGGCCATGTAGGAGCGCTACTTACTGGCTGCTACTCATGACTTGCTCAGGCTGCATTCTTACAGCACCCAGGACCACCATCTCAGGAGTGACCCCACCCACAATGGGCTGGGCCCTCAAACCAACCACTAATTAAGAAAATGCTCTACAGGCTTGTCTACAGTCAGATATTTTTGGTTTTGTGAGACAGGGTTTCTCTGCAGTTTTGGAGCCTGTCCTGGAACTCACTCTGTAGACCAGGCTGGCCTCAAATCCACAGAGATTCACCTGCCTCCGCCTCTGGAGTGCTGGAATTAAAGGTGTGTGCCACCACTGCTCAGCCTACAGCCAGCTCTTATGGAGGCATTTTCTCAACAGAGGTTCCCTCCTCTCAGATGACCCTAGCATGTGTCAAGTTGACATGAAAAAAGCCAACACACACACACACACACACACACACACACGTTGCTCCCCTGGAACCTAGCCTGTATTTCCTAAAATGGCCTACAAGGGCTTCCTGAACCTTCTCTGGAATGGAATTGGTGGCCCAAGGGTCAAATGTAAAGAAATTGTGTTTGACATTGCAGAATATTAACAATCTGTTGCTTAAATGCAGAATTGCTGATGCTACCCCTAACAGTTTCTGACTGATCCTGGAAAGAAGGAAAAAAAAAAAAAGCATGCAAGCTTTGGCAACTGAAGCTTCAGCTAAACATCCATTGAATCCAGTGTGCATGGCCCTGCTACTCTCCATTGCCTTTTTACACCCAGGCTATTTTATTCATTGGCATTGAGTTCCAATAGACTTTTGTTTACTATTTTGACCTTATTTCCTAGGTCCCCATCATTCCATGTGCTCTTCTCTTAGTCCCTACTTCCAACAGTGCAACAGACTTTCAGATACTGGAATTGGATGTTGATCTCTCGTCTCTCATCCTTGGAGTGGTAGTCCCCCGTCTGGCATACTATCTGGATCACAATCCCTGTTCCTTACCAAGCTCATTCCAAGTAATTCTCAAACCTAAAACCATAGACTCCTTCTCATAGGAAGCCTGCTCTGACTTGCCCACACTGTAGTGCTACCCCTATGTCCTTAACCCTGTTTAAATTAGTCTTGTAGTTGACTCTACTTGTCCTGTTATTTTGTTAGATTGGGAGTCCCAAAAGAGCCTTCTCGTTGGCCGAAGGACCTCTCAAACCCTGTGCATGGAGGAATGCAATAATATGCCAGAGGCAATATATGTGGTCCTTCTACTCTTTCCCTTGTAAAGCAAAATTCTGGTTTTCAAGACCACACCCTCCTAGGAATGGAACCAAGACTTTTTGAGTCTTTGTATTTATTATGTGCTTTGGTGTTTTACCTGCATGTGATATCTGTATGTGGGTGTTGGGTACTCTGGAACTGGAGTTGTGAGCTGCCACGTGAGTGCTGGGAATTGAACCTGGGTCCTCTGGAAGAACAGCCAGTGCCCTTGACTGCTGAACCATCTCCCTAGCCTCCACCTTTTGTGTCTCAATACTGCGTAGTCCCTTAAATATGAATTGTCAGATCATGTGCCTGCCCCTTTAAGATGACCACTCTAAGGGACCAGATCCTTCAGTTTGACTTGTGGTTTTACCCAGAACCTGGCTCCTCCGTGTCCCTTGTCATATCCTCTCTCCTATACTAAATCATGTGATGTGGCACTTTCTGCCATTCTCTGCAAGGATATAAAGCGCAAATACCTTCCACAGCTCCCCTTCCCCTTGTTCTATGACAGCTAACTCTAAGCTCTCTCTCTTAATGCAGCTCCTCTCCAGGTTTCAAATGGAAGCCTCTCCTGTGCATAAACATGTTGTCTCGGCTAGACGACACCATCCCTTCTTAGTGCTGTCCCCCATCAAGGCCTGCTCATGGCTCCTGTGGTCTCGAGGCTCTTTCCCCTAACAAAGTTCATTCCTGAAGCGTATTTTGTCACCTTCTTCCCAAACCCAACCAACACCCCCCCCAATCCATCTACTTGCATCCCCTCCTCTCTGACATGAACCTGAGCTAGCATTACAAAATCTGAAAATAGGAAATTCATTGCTAATTTGTTCTGAAGAAAATGTGAAACAATGGGCAAGGTAAATAACATAGCCATGACTCCATTGTAGAAGGGTTGTATCTACATCCCTGCTGCTCAAGTACCCAACCAGCCCTTTGCTGATTTTCGTTGCCTGCCTGGCTGCTGGAGAAGTAAGCTGCAGTTCTTGGCCCTAGGCTAGTCTTCAGGGCAAAAATTACTATCTCAACACAAGAATTCCTAAGAGGAGGGGGCAAGTATGATGCTAACCTTTTAGACCAGCTAAAGGAAGAGACCTCTTTGCCTGAGACCTGCCCTACAGTGCACCCTTCAGGTGGCTTTTATCCTTGAAATAACGCTCAGTAGTTACCATATACTAAGTTATGCTTTGTCACTAGAATATGCACTGTGCAGATATGAACCTAAGAGGCCACCTGTCTTCCTTTTTCTAACAGTACAGCAATGGAACAGATGCATTTTACAGCTGCCCTCTGAGAGAAAACAATCTCAGAGGCCCACTTCCTGGAAACTGCCACCAGACTGAAACCCTTTCACCGCTGCCCTTACAGCAGGCTCCTGTTCTTCCCATCACTACAAGACATCCTTGCCTGGGCAGTAACTCAAGATGAACCCTGTAACCTGTCCCTTCTCTTTAGAAATGGGAGCAAGTAGTCACAGACAGCACACTTTACGCACTGAGTTCCCGGGATAGTCCCAATTGTCCAGAGATCATCTTCTATGTGCCCCTACGTTACACGGTTCCATGACCGCTCCCTGCCCAGCCCTCACCCCCAACCGCCTACACTCCGCTATCCCAAGGTTCATAACACAGTCGGAAACTGCATGTCCCCTGTGGGTTGCACCTCCGGCAAAGTACCGCTCGCCTGCGCCTGCGTGCTTTGCCTACAGCGCACGCGCATCGCAGCCTGCTTGCTGAGGGCTCCCAGGATGCCCCGCGGTTGCGGAGGCGCCTTGGTATCCTACCGCAGCTCAGTTGCAGACAGTGAGTGCTACTATGGTGTACCCAACATCGAGTTTCCTTCTGGCTCCGGCATTGAGAGTCCAGCAATGCAGCGGAGTATCGGACAGGAAGACCAGCCGGGTTCGGCAGCCTTCCTCACGTGAAGAGACTCGGTGGTTCTCCCGAGAGCCCCTTGTTGGTCGTAGCTTGTCACCCCGTTTGACTTACTAAACTGCGTTAAGGCTGAAGCAATGGGTGGGAGAGGAGAGCAGAGTAGAGTTTACACTGCGCTCCGCTGCTCGCTCTGAAAAGGAGATCCCCTCTTCCTTTGACTTAGAAGCACCTTCAAATCCCTAGGTGTTGCCTCTGATGTCGCCCTCTTCCCCACGCTCTCGGGATTCTGGCATGGCCCTGACTCTTGACATGTCCTACTTAAAAATGCACCCCCCTCACCCACAGGCACCGGCCTCCATAGATGGAACCATTGAACATCTGCTGTGCAGGGAAGTGGACTTGGCTGAGGGATCACTCAGAAAATCAGACCGAGCTCCCTTTGTAAGGGACTCAGGCAGTGGACACCGGGGTGGGAGTAGGGGGCAGGAAAATATCTGGAAAAGCAAGGAAGTCTCCTAGAGGGAGAAGACTCGCCTTCGACTGTGAAGGATGGAAAGTTTAAGCCAATGAAAGTAAAGTGTGTTATTCCTGAATAGGGAGGCCCAGGCCTGAGTTACACCTGCTGTTTGGATATTTATTACCTTCAAGAGACTTTCTTGAAATTTTCCCACATCTTGATTGCATCCCCACCAAATACCCGGGGGGCTGAGCCAGAAATCGGAGTTACCCTCAGCCCCTGCCTTTACCTTTTAGTGAAGCCATACCTAGCTCTTGACATCAAAATTAATCTCAGACTTTAAAAATTTCATGACTGAATCCTGGTGGGCATGTCCTTACTGCTCACTGCATCTCACTCATTGCAAACTGTTTGCTGGTTCGAAAACTCAGCCTGCTAGCCCATGCCTTCGTGCTTTGGCAGTGCTGTTCCTTGTCTTGAATGCCATCCACAGTTCATGTGGTGAGTTGTCCAGTTCTAAGCCTGCCTCTGAATCCTACACCACACAACTCCCAAGGATCGTCAAACCTCTTCTCCCTAGACCTCATGTATTCCCTAGTCATTATTCATTCCACAAACGTTTAGGAAGCACTGAGCCAGGCCTTTTGCATTTCCTAAAGTGAAATTCCTAAAGTGTATTTGTTTGCCTGTCATCCTCGTTAGCCAGTGTGAATTTCATTAGCCAGTGTGAATTTCCAGTGCCAAGCCTTCATAAAGTTGCAAGAGGAGAAAAAGACGATGTAGAGAATTATGAAACCTAGTGGGTAGCTATTTCCTCCCAATTGAAACAATATTCCCTCCCGGAAGGGAGTGGGAGGCCTATAGGACTCAGAAACCTAAGGAAGCATTCAAGACTCTGAGAAGCTCAGAAAGCTGATCACAAAGCCCTCCCCAAGGTTATATAAGCAGTGAACAATTAATTGCCAGGGGAGAGAAGACTCTTCTGGGAGCTGTCTGCTGTCATCACCTGAGCTGGAGTGGGCTTGTGTTGGAGCTGCCTTTGAGTCACCCAGGCTTGTTCAAGCCCACTAAACTCCTTGGTTTACCACGGTAGACATGGGATCTTTTAGTTGGCCTGTCATTTGTTCTGTCTGAAGTGAATAGATGTTTGTTCTCATCTCCCCAGAAATGTCACCTGACACCTAGATAAACATCCTTCGAATTAGCACCTGTAGAAAGTCCTTTGAAGGATAACTGGTGTGGAAAGGGAAACTACAGCCCTAATGAGTTTCACATAAGGCAGTGTGACAATGGGAGAGTTTGCTCAGTCTCTACAAGTTGTTGGCTTCTTCCAAGGGAACCCATCCCGTGCTTGCTCCTGGAGGTACTTCCCTTCACCCACAACACCTTCGAGATTTCCATCCCAGAGCTTTCTACACCTCTTCATATTGTAAGCAATAATAACACCCACAGTGTATCAGTAGTCGGGCCCTGTGGAATCAGCAGGGCTGGAAAGGGGCTCATCAGCCCCCATCTTTGAACTTAAAGAATGAGAACACTTTGTTCCAAACTACTGGAGCTCTGGGACTCCCACTTGTTCCTGTGGACAACTCATCCATCCTTCAGAAAACACAAGCGTGGGTTAATGCGGTGGAGTAATAGCTCCTGTAAGGCCAAATTAGCCCAGGGATCTGGTGAATCGGCAAGGAGGAGGCTGTTGCTAAGCCACAGCATGTGCCCTCTCCTTTCAGGGCTGCACTGTGCTAGAGGGAGCTAGATTCAGGAAATCTATGCTATTCCCCCGGTGAAGGACCAGGGGAGGCAGAGCAGAGGCTGGGACTTTAGAGGGAGGCCCAACCTACTGCCTACCTCTGACTGTGAGAACAAAGAATGGGCAAGGCCCTATGTCATTTCTGTTGTAATTACAGTAATAACACTTTCACCACAGACTATTCAAGACACTAGAAGATTAATTAAAAGAGATACACATAGAGAACATTTAGCACAGTACCTAGCACAAATAGGCAACTCCATAATAGCTGTCTGCTCAGCCCACATGCATTTTTTAGCTTTCCCTAAGTCCAGGTACTGTTTGGGATGCCAGCTTTACAAAGTGAGCAAACTCCTTGAGGTAGGGACTTCACATTGGATTAAAAAGCTCTAAAACCTTGTAGGCTGTGTCAGGTGGTGGGAAGAACTGGGGAGGGATAGGGGACGGACTAGAGGAGGCTTTCTGAAGGGCTGAGAGACAGTTGAGTAAAAGCTTAGCGGGCAGGGTGGGCAAGAGGCGAGAGCATTCCAGGGAGGCAGCGTCACTGCACATATCCTGAGGTGAGTGTCCTCTGTGGCTAGGGACACCTGACCCTCAAGACTCAAGTTAGCTGTTCAAAGGACTCCGAGGAAGGAAACCAGAGGAGAGAGCAGAGAAACCAGATCCTGGAGGTCTTGAAGTCTTGGTGAGGACTTGGGCCTTTCTTGAGTAAGAGAGGGCCACTAGGGAAGTCTGAGCATCAGAGAGCCACAGCCTTTGGGGCCTCCTGGCTAATGGTTGTGGGATAGATATGAGGTGAGGGTAGAAGCATAGACCAGTGCAGAAAACCAATCGTCCTTCAAACCCTGCCTGGGCCTGGGGTCAGAAGAGGAACGCTTTGTCCCCATTTCATTCCAAGAGTGAAGCAAGGTTTTCAAAAGACTAGAAGACAGGACAGGGCAGGGAAAGAAATGGTTGCGAACGGTCTTGTGTGTCCCAGCCAATACAGACAGAGTCTGTTCTTACCTGATGGTGAGATGCTCTGAATCTGGCTCCAGGCACTGCAGAGTCTCTTGGGATGTGTTGGTGGCCTGTGTCCCAGCTGGATTCCTGTTCCAGGAAGGGAGGTTCCCGCCCCTTGTTCAGCTGACTCACAGTGGACTGGGATAGGCCGAGGTTAGGCTGTGTGGCTAGGTAAACAGAACAGTCGCCAGGCCCACATGAGGCCTTTGCCTTAGTCTAGATTCAGAGGTGGGGTTAAGGACACATGGCTGATATGAGTAGGTGTTGTAGAGATGGGTACAAACTAGGGCTACTTGGCCCTATGAGGAAGTCAGCACTGGCTGTAGAGGCCTCACTTTGCCGGTGGGAAAAGTTAGGTGGCTGGAGAGCAGTGAGATACATGTCCTGGGTTTTTTAAGTGGCCATAGTTTGTAACCTAGTATATATCTTAGAAATGTATTACAGTGAAGTCTCTGGGTCCACCACTGTGTTTCTTCTAATAAAGCCAATCCAGAAATCCCAGATGCTTGACATTGGTTAAACAAATCACTAGCCTATGGAAGATGACAAAATTAGTACATCATGTAAGAAGGTGCCAAGAGGAAATATAACCATGACACTGGTAAGACTGTGAGAAATCACCATCAAGGTCCTCAGAAAAGCTTGTTTTCCTGCAAGCAGCTGAGTAAGACATATTCAAATGCAGAGTGCCTCTGGATGGGAACTGAGGTCGAACTTTTTCTCAACCCTCTTCGTTTTCTCCTTTCTCTTGTTCATTCCTTCTTTGGGATGTTAGGGATCAAGGCTTATATGCCTAAGCAAATGCTAGCCTGATATCTCCAGCCCTGGTGAGCTTTTCAGTTTGTACTTCCCCATGAGTTCCAATCATGGCAGGTAGGAGTGTGTGTGTGTGTGTGTGTGTGTGTGTGTGTGTGTGTGTGTATGCGCGTGTGTGCGCGCGCGCGCGCATGCAGGGGCATGTGTGCAATGTGTGTATGTCCAGTGTATGTGGCATACTGGCCCATGTATGCATGTAGAGACCAGAGATTGACACTGCCTTCTTCCTCTCTCTATTCCTCTTCACCTTAGTCTTTGAAACAGGATCTCTGAACCTAGTGCTCACCATTTTTGGGTAACCTGGCTCTCCAGCAAGCCCCTGGGATCTGTCTCTACATCCCTAGTGCCGTAGTTATAGATGTAACCTGCAATTTATAGCTTTCACATGGGTGGTGAGGTCCTCAATGCCCACTGAACCATCCAGCCACCTGTGCTGATGATTTTCCTAAGATAGCAGTAAACATGGTTGTTTTTTTTTTTTTTTAATTGTTTCCTGTAAGGAAAATGAAGGAGCTAGCTGTGTCGAGGGAGTGTTGGGGTACGGCAGAGTTTCTTTCTTCCTTTTCCTTTGTCACTCTGGTTTTTTATTGTTGTTGTGGCTCTGTTTTGCTTGTTTGTTTTGACACAGGGTCTCTCTATGTAGTCTTGGCTGCCTCTGCCTCCCAAGTGCTATGTTTAAGGTTTGTGTCTCCATATCCAGCTCCTTTATGCCCTTTAAATTTTGAAAATTTTAAATGTATATTTATCCCATTAAATAACCATATACAAGTCAAGTTAAACAGAAGAGGAGGAAGAATTCCTGGTGGGTATGGCTGGATGACTTTGTCTAGGGAGGGGCCCAGGAGTCATGTGCTAGGCAATCCCCTAAGCAATGACGCAGGTCACCTACCTACTCAGGGTGGAGTGAGTATCAGGGATGCTTGCCAGGCAGGCTCACTTCACAGTTCCCATGATGAGCCTGGCAGGATTGTACTAAGAGCAGATCCTGCCTGACTGTGAGGAGCCTACAGCCCAAAGGGCCACACAACGAACACATCCAGGAATGGTGACACCCTGTCCACGTGGCCTTTTGCCTCTGACTCTAGGAATCATCATTTTGTGTTGCTCATGTTCTCAAACGCTGAAAATTCAACCTGTGGTTCTCTGAGAGCAAAGGCTACATGTTAGATCTACAAAGGATGCTCTCAAAATAAATACTGGAACCAGGGCTATGGCCAGGATTGATTTTTTTATAGAGTTGCATGAATAATTTTAATAGGTTTAAAACACTGGTGGCTAAATGTACAGATTTCATTTAGAAACTCCCCAATAGTACTGTGGCAGACCTGAGCAATCAGCCACTGATTGCTAAGACCATCACACTTAGCCCATGGCTTGTTCAGAATCCTCCATGCAAGCAGGGCAGTGGTGACGCATGCCTTTAACCCTAACACTCAGGAGGCAGAGGCAGGCAGAGCTCTGTGAGTTTGAGACCAGCCTGACTTACATAGTGAGTTCCAGGATAGCCAGAACTATATAATAGAAACATCCCCATATATATATATATATATATATATATATATATATATATATACACACACACACACACACACACACACACACACACACACACACCTACATACATACATACATACATATATGTGAGAGATCCACCTGCCTCTGCCTTCTGGGGAACCACTTTATTTGGAAAAGCCTTTTAGCAAACTTGAGACCCTTCAGAAATTAATGGTTATGTGAACATCCTAAACCTTAAGTTTTTAAACATAAGACATTGTTGGGGAGTATATTATGAAAATCTACAGACAGCTGAAGATTGACATTTTTAGCTGAAATTGGAATTTCAAATGAAAACAAAGTTCTTCGGCTGAAGTCTGAAGGCTACAGGAAGGATAAACTTGTTAGGGTCTAGTCATATGGACTGATGGGCTGGTGGCTCATGGTGTGGTGACCTTTTCATTTGAGAGTGTGAAGTATGTGACCCAGTGCTTAAGAAACTAACCTCCCGATGACATAATCACTGACTATGGTTTCACAATACTGATAGCTCTACGTGCTAGTCCAGCCTCTTGTAGTTTGTTACCTGAGACAAGTATTTGGTCATAATGGTCTAATGGTGGCCTCCAAGCCTTCCCTTTCTCAAAGCTATTACTATTAGAGAGCTTGTCTAGGAACCTTTCTGATTATAGAAGGAAGAGAGGGATTTATAAAGTCTGACCTTCCTTGCATGTTGTGTCTGATTTTTTTTTTAATAGTGGCCAGTTAGTGTACCTAGAGATTTAGTGGTTTTCCTTATATAAATTATAAATTATACCATAAAATGAAAAAAAAGCAGACATAAAAACCTCAAGGGTGTTCCCTACTGTAAGAAGAGAGAAGCTGTTCAACAGGGAAGGAGGTGCTGTGCCCTCTGACCCAGCCAGGGACCTGGAAGGTATCTTGTAACCCAGCACAGTGTACCACAACTACACCTGTCCCTCTGGGAAATAATGGTTGTCCAGGTGCCTTCATGGTATTCCTATAAACTGAGAGTTCTACTGGATTCTCATAAGCTGGTCTCCAGCGTTCTTCGGAACAGTGTCCAGGCTGACAGCAGCTCCTTGCTTGGGGTTGCATAGCCAAACTTGGCTACAGCAGAATACAGTTGTCTGGCTCCCAGCCCCAAGCAGCTGGGCTACAGCCTTTTACCTAGAGCACTACACTAGTCCTAAGCAGCTACAGCTTTAAAGGGTGACAAGAATTTAACTTCATGAACACATGTGGGGGGGCTTGGAAATGACATCTTTTAGCTGACATTGGGGTCCCCTTAGTAAGAAAAGGGAAGCCAGGCATGGCACTGCAGAACTTTAATCCCAACACTCAGGAGACAGAGGTAGGCAGATCTCTGTAAGTTTAAGATCAATCTATTCTATACAGCAAGTTCCAGGCCAACCAGGGCTTCAGAGCTACAGAGTAAGAAAGATCCTGTCTCAAAGAGAGTGAGAGAGAGAGAGAGAGAGAGAGAGAGAGAGAGAGAGAGAGAGAGAGAGAGAGAGAGAGAGAGAGAGAAGCAAAGCAAAGGGAGAAGGCATGGGCCTTGCCCAGGTGTGCATAGGGCCTGAGCTGAGTGACGCTGCCTGGCACTGTGTCTGTCTGTCCTTCCCAGACACTGTCCTGAGAACATCTGTCTACAAGAGAGGGAACATCTGTCTACAAGAAAAGTCATGAGTGGGGACTATTTCTAATGTTTTATCTTTCTGCAGGCCTCCATCTTCCTTTATGTCAAATGGAGATCATAACTGACAGATTTCTGACCCCATTACAGAGAGCTCTTGATGCAGGAGTCCTCTGCATACTATCAAGTTTTTGGTCTGAGCCTGTTTCCACATTTGTTCTAGGAACAATTTGGATGTCCTATCCCAGATATCTAAGGTCCCACAAAGGTCCTACACAGTGCCACCTGGCTCCCAGATGCGCTGCAGATGCCCATGTGAGCATTTGGTCTTCAGTCTCCAAAGACAACAAAATGTGTTTCTTATCCTTTCTTAAGGCCTGCTTTCTCTTTCTTTTTTCTTTTCTTCCTTTCCTTTTCTTTTTCTTCTTCTTTCTTTCTTTCTTTCTTTTTCTTTTTCTGTTATTTGGCAGTTTGTTCTAGCCAGGGCAGGGAAGGCCATGTTGAGCTATCAAACACAAAGCTCATTTCTCACACATACACATGCGTGCCAGTGGCATGTCTCCATGTCTCTGTCTCCTGACAGGCTCTAAGGTGGTAAGGCAAGTGCAGTTCAAAAGCTGTCAGCAGCTGGGCATAGGGAAAGAGGTCTCCATTGGGAAGCAAATACTCCAAATGCCACTTTCTACCCTAGGTGACCTCACCTATATAAAATGGGTTTCAGAAATGCTTTCCTACCATGTGTCTGGAACTCAGAATGCAGGCAATACATCATGGAAGTTGGTATTAGACACGTCCACAGGTGTCAGGTATCTCTGATCACCGGTGGGGAGGGAGAGCAGGTGTCCATTGGTGTCTTCATAAGCCTATCACCTTCCCTGAGGAGTGAGGGAGCCAAAGGAAATACTACTACTTCAGAACGTGGGGTGTGAAGAGCAGGTGGCCCTACCTATTCTGCCTATGATCTGTGGCTGTGTCCCCTCAGAATCCATGCACTGAAATCTTCAGTGACATATGAAGTGTTTGTAGTGGGATTAAGCATGGAGGTGGACTTGTGTGAGACTCCTGCTCTTAAGCCTTGGATACATGTATTTCTACAGGGGAGGACACCAAGGATAACGTACTGGCCCAATTCCTCTTCTGAGAGTAGTCAGGTG